AAAGATTTAGTAAACATTAACACAACAGAAATAAAAAGACAAGAAAACCCACAAAAATGAACTCAACATAGAAAATTATGTGGAACAAAGAATCCATCAACATTGCAAAAAACACACACAGAAAAGTGACAACTATTAATTCATACCTATTGAAAATTACACTGAATGTAAATGGATTAAATATATTAGTCAAGAGACAGAGAGCAGAATGAGTAAGAAAACAGGATCCTTCATAAGAGAGACATATCAAAAAGATAGAGACAGCCTAAATGTCCACCAAGAATGGTTAAACAAACTTTGATAATACCTACAATGGAATACTACAAAATGTTGAAGAATAATGATGAATGCCTGAAACACCTCACAACATGGAGGACATTATGTTGAATGAAATTAATCAACCACAAAAGGACAAACATTGTATGAGACCAATGATGTAAAAAGTTAAAGATAGGTTTCTTGATAAAAGAACAATCTATGATGGTTATAGGAAGGATGAGGTTGTAATGGGGAAGGGAAAATTATTCGTGGGCTAGAGGGGAGACACATGTTAACATGGGTGACAAAGCAGGCAATATTCAACAAGAGGGAAGTTAGTAGAGGAAAGATGAAAGTAGTGAGAGACTCAGGGAGGAATGCAATAGTTAAAGTGAATAGTTGTCATTGTTAAGTGCCTTCGAGTCAGTTCTGACCCATAGTGAGCCTGTATAGGCTTTCCAAGGAGTGAGTGGTATGCTTGACCCTCCAACTTTGCAGTTCAAACCGACCTTGTAGTCCAGAGCATTAACCCACAGCGCCAAAGTGAATAGAGGTAAATGGTATTAACTGTTGGCAAGTGGAGGGAATTTGCAACCCTGGTAGCATAGTGGTTATGAATCGGGCTGCGAACCGCAAGGTCAGCAGTTTGAAACTACCAGCTGCTCCGCGGGAGAAAGATGAGGTGTTCTGCTCCTGTAAAGATTAACATCCTCGGAAACCCTGTGCAGGGCCGCTATGAGTCAGAACCGACTCCACAGCACATGACAACAACAGTGAGTATAACGTATGTTGTTGTTGTTACGTGCCGTCGAGTCGGTTCCGACCCATAGCGACCCCGTACAGGGTTTCCGAGGGTGTAAATCCTTACGGGAGTAGAAATCTTCATCTTTCTCCCGCGGAGCAGCTGGTAGTTTCGAACCGCTGACCTTTAGGTTCGCAGCCCGATTTGTAACCACTACGCTACCAGAGGTCCATGAGTATAAAGTATATGTTAGTAAAATTGATGATCTGCTCTGTAAACCTTCATTCAGTTCACAAGAAAAAGTTCTAAAATAAATAAATTGCATACATTAAAAAAATAAGTGGAAGAAATGATTAAATAAAATAACTGAATAAAAAAATGCAGTGGGCAGCTCAAGAAGACAAAGTATCACAATTAAACGGGCACAGATATGGAGTTAGAAAGCCAGTAAGGTTGAACACATTCAGCATTTCTCAAGCTGAAAGAACTGAAGAAAAAAAAAATCAAGCCTCAACTTGAAATATTGAAGGATTCTATGGGCAAAATATTGAAGGATACAAGAAGCATCAAAAGAAGATGGAAGGAACACGTAGCGTTACTGTACCAAAAAGTACTGGTTCAACCATTTCAAGAGGTAGGATATGATCAATAACCAATAGTACTGAAAGAAGTTCATGCTGCACTGAAGGTATTGGTTAAAAAAAAAAAAAAAAAAAGGCTCCAGGAATGGATGGAATTTGAATTGAAATGTTTCAACAAACTGATGCAGTGCTGGAGGCGCTCACTACTCTATGCCAAGAAATTCGGAAGGTAGCTACCTTGTCATATGATTGGAAGAGATGCTTATGTGTATGCATTCCAAAGAAAGGAGACCCAACAGAATGTAGAAATCATCTAACAATATCATTAGTATCACATGTAAGATTTTGCTAAAGATAATTTTAAAATGGTTGCATTAGGGAATTGCCAGAAATCCAAGCTAGATTCAGAGGATGTGTTGATGAGGGAACTTGGCTGAAAGTAGAGAACACCAGAAAGATGTTTACCTGTGTTTTATTGACTATGCAAAGACATTCAACTATATGGATCATAACAAACTATGGATATTTTGAAGAATGGAAATTCCACAGCACTTAATTGTGCTCATGTGGAACCTGTTTATAGACCAAGAGGCAGTTGTTTGAACAGAACAAAAGTATACTGTATGTTTTCAAATCAGGAAAAGTGTATCATTTCACCATACTCACTCAACTTTGCTGAGCAAATAGTTCGAGCAACTGGACTATATGAAGAAGAACATAGCATCAGGATTAGAGGAAGCTTCATTAACAATCTGCAATATGCAGCTCACACAATCCAATCTTGCTTAATGAAAGTGAAAAGGACTTGAGGCACTTGCTGATGAAGACTGAAGAATATATATAGCCTTCAGTATGGATTATATGTACCTTACAACTGGGCCAACAGATAACATCATAATAAATGGAGAAAAGATTGAAGTTATCAAGGACTTCATTTTTCTTGGATCAACAAACAATCCTAACGGAAGCAGAGGTCAAAAAATCGAAGGATGTTTTGCATTGGACAAATCTGCTGCAAAAGACCTCTTTAAAGTGTTTGAGAGCAAAGATGTCACTTTGAGACCTAAAGTACACTTTAAGCAAGGCATGGTATTTTCAATCACCTCATATACATGTGAAAACTGGACAATGAATCAAGAATAAGGAAAGAACTGAAGTATTTGAATTATGATGTTGATGGAAAATATCGAAAGTACCAAGAACTTCTCAAAGAACAAACAGATCTGTCTTAGAGGAAGCGCAAACAGAATGCTCCTTAGCAGGGAGGACAGCACTTTCATGGACTTTGGACATATTATCAGATGGGACCAGCCCCTGGAAAAGAACATCATGTTTGGTAAAGTAGAGGGTCAGAAAAAAAGAGGAAGACCCTCAACAAGTAGCTGCAACAAAAGGTTCCAGTATTACAATTGTGAGGATGTTACAGGGTGGGGCAGTGTCTTGTTCAGTTGTACGTAGGGTTCTGGTATAACAATTGTGAGGATGTTACAGGGCTGGGCAGTGTCTTGTTCTATTGTACATAGGGTGGCTATGAGTGGAAAATGACTTCTTGACACCTAACAACATCACATCAATAAGAGTCATGGCAATTGGCAGAAAGGAAAGAAACAGCTAGATGAGACTGGGTTCTAATAGGTGACCTTTGTACACAGTGTACCTCAGTATACCCCACCCCATCTCATTCTGGCCTTTGGTGCTGGCTTTACCTCTTTAACTAAAATCAAACATCTTCTGTTTTACCAAGCCATAATGTTACCATTTCACTTGGAAACTCATAGTCTCTATTTACTGGTGAATTCAGCTCTCCAGTGAGTTTGCTATAGCTCACAAGTACTATAATCCAGACAGCATCTCTATTCCCCTTTGATCAGATTGGCATGTTGAATGGGACCCCCCACATCTTTGGCATGCCTTTGGCTGCCTATCATGTCTGGCATAGCAGGATCTCAGGAAATAGTTAAAAGCAAAAATTACATCACTAATAAATCGCCATGGTTCTTTTGGCAATCTCAGAATTATGCAAGTGATTTTTATAAATGCATTTATCAAATGTATATATAGTTGGTATTGTTACGTTAACTACTCTATTTTCTATCCATTCCTCTTCCCTAAACATCGAATCCCCGTAGTCTTATGTAATGATATTATGTTGGCACATTTTGTCCCTTTTCCACTCTTCTTCCTGGTGGCGTATCAGGTTATGCATTGGGCTGCTAATCACAGGTCAACAATTTGAATCCATCAGTCCTCGTGAGGCACTGTAGGATAAGCACTGGACTGCAAGGTTGGTTTGAACCACAAAGTCAGAGGTTCAAACTCACCAGCCACTTCTCAGAAGCCCTATGTAGGGTTGCTATGAGTCGGAACCAACTCCATGGCACTTAACATGTCTTTTCTCAGGAGATAGAAGAGGCTTTCTACTCCAGTAGAGGGTCACTGAGTCGGAATTGCTTTTTCCTAAAACTGAACATGTATTCAGTTATGTCTGTGAAAAACGGGAGATTCCTTTAAAAAAAATGTTTTATGAGTTCTTCTAAACATAGACAAAGGCAATAAAAATCCCCAATGTTACATATAGTTTAAAAGCCCTTATTGTCACATAAAATAATTTTGCTGTGTGTTCCCTAAGGAACTGAAAAGTACATTATAATCATTGTAATCCTGCTGGGTAGAGACAGTATCTTCTCTATATTCTTTGTTATGCCTGATATTATTGGTTCAGCTTATGATTTTAAAAAAGAAATTTGTGTCTAGTATAATGCATCTGTGTTCTTCTCATTTCCCATGAGCACCACTAAGTCTGTATTTTTCATTCTTGGACCTTGCTGAGTAGCATCCAAAGTCTGAACCACAGCAGGTTTAGGCTCTGCGCTTTTGATACAGTGAATGAAGATGGTAAATATTGCTATTGGTAAAAGTGTCTTTCTAAGGTCAAAGAAAAGACAGACTCCATCAATCTGAGTAGGGTACCCTGAGCATCAAATCTGCAGTAGTTATCAAGGTTCCTGGGAACCTGGCTTCATTGCAGACAGGACACAAGGCAAGGGCCTGACTTGTTCACCTCCGACTAGGGAAACACCCCTTTCTGAAAATGGAAGCTAATTTTAGTCTCCTTCAAAGCTGGGTGGGGGTTTGGAGCCGGCAGTGGCTGTAGGTGTGGGTGTGCTAAGTGAATGTGTCTTCCCCCCTTGACGGTTGCAAGGGGATCCGTTTGTGTTCCCCTATCCCTGATTTGCGGCCCTGCCCAAACCATTGTCCGCACACCTCGTCCCTCCAGCTTCCGGGCCGCGGGCAAGATGATTTGCTGCAGATGACATCAGCCCAGGGCCAACGGCTGGAAGAGCAGAGGCAGCCACCGAGTGAGGATGTGCCGGGTGGTCCTTTCCTCCTCCTCTTCCTCCTCCTCCCCGGCGCCCAGACTAGACTCCATATAAAAGCAGTGCAGCCTCCCCGCCCTCTTTCACTCACAGCGCCTCTCCGCCTTGCGCTTGACGCGGAGCTTAGAGAGGGCGGAGGGGGAGGCGGCGCGGAGCGCCAGGAGGAGGGGGGACGCAGGGGGCGGAGCGGAGGCAGCACCTTCGGAGATAATCCTTTCTCCTGCGGCATAGGAGAGGAGCGGCCAGACCCGGACACAGCACGGAGGCTTAGTGGTCCGGCAGGATGGCGACCGTGGTGGTGGAAGCTGCCGAGCCCGAGCCGTCCGGCAGCATCTCCAACCCAGCAGCATCCACCTCCCCCAGCCTGTCACACCGCTTCCTCGACAGCAAGTTCTACCTGCTCGTGGTCGTGGGCGAGATTGTGACCGAGGAACACTTGCGGCGCGCCATCGGTAACATAGAGCTCGGTAAGTGGCCCTTCGGCCCCAGGAGCCGAGCGCAGGGGAGACGCGCAACACAATCCCACCCAGGGCGCCGAGGCCACCTTTCTCCCCAGGCGCGCCCAGCAGCGTTGCCCCTCCCTACCACCTTCCACACTCTGTCCAGACTGCTTTCTGTACTACTACGAATGATTAGATTGAAGACCCTGAGCAAATCTCATAACCTTGAGGGATTAGTCACAGACTTGGTCACCGCCTTTCCTACTAAGTGAAAGGCAGGTGTCAGAGGAGCAAAGGCCACAATAAAGCTGCCACCGCAAGAGGCAAAGGAGGGTTGCGGGGAAAACCTGATGCAACCACTCCCTTCTAGCCCTCATCTCACCCTGAAAATGACTGGGACTCCTTGCAGGCCGGCCCCGGGCTGAAACACCATGTGCCAAGGCCTGCCTGGGAATCGTTCTCACCCACGGCCACACGGCTACCTTACCCTGGAGAAAAATTCCTTTTCTGGGTTGAAAACCATCCGATCTGTTCTTTCCTGGGAATGACTAGGCAGGCTAGTGCTAGGGCCACGCCCGCCTTACTGTGTCGTCCCCCCCCCCCTCCCCCCGCAACCTCCCGCGGGATTCAAGGATGGAGCATAGACTGCGCTCCATTCCCAGACCGAGCCCGCCTCACTACAGACCCTGGGTGCTCGACTGCAGCTTTCAAAAAGGACAATGGGACCCCAAGTTGCAGGGTGGGGCTTTTTCTTTTTAAAGTCCCAGTTTCGGGAGGGACAGCTAGGGGGAGAGGGTCTGGGTAGCGCCAGCTTGTGCTGGTTGCACGCACCGGGAGCACGCGCTGCAGTGGCCGAATAGCGGTTCCCCGGGAGTCCTGGTCAGGGGCGGGGCGGGGCGGAGGGGGTCCAGCGGGCACAGCCTGTGGCACACAGACAGACTTGTTCCCCAGCCCCACCTAGGCTGCCGCAGTGCCCTCTTCTGCCTGCTGCACCTGCCCCTGCACTGCGGCCCCCTTCGGGCGCGGTCGGCGGGGCGTGCGCTCCACCTCGGCCTCGAGCTCTGCAGGGGCTGCGCGCGCCCGCCGCTCCCTCTGCCCGGCTTTGTTGCGCTCCGAGCTCCTGGGTGGGCAGATCTTGTTTCCGTCCTTCCCTTTAGCCCTGTCCTACCCACCTCCTTCCCAGCCCTCCCCTCGCCCCTGGCAGAGGTCTCCGGGTCCCTCTGCAGCCCCAGCCCTCGCTCTATTCTCTTGTGGTGGTGCTGAAGCGGTTCTGCCGGGAGACACCGGCTGGTGGGCGTGGTGCAGTCCGCACTGCGGTCTCTACGGCAGCCCGAGGCGGACAAAGAGCGTTCACGCAGCCCTCATTCCCTGTTCTCCCTACCCCCATAATAAAAGACCAAAGAAAATGCTTGTTGTAGATGAAAAAATCAACGGTTGTCATCTGCCTCTGCTTTTGGAAACGGCCACTTGTCCCCAGAACAAAAGGCTGCAGGGTGGAGACTGGAGTTGCAGACCTGGTTCTTTTGTTTAACTTTAAAGCACTGATTTTCCTTTTCGGCTTAAAAAAAGCAAAAAAAAAAAAAAAAAACCAACAACAACAACAACAAAAAAACCCAGAAGGCTTTAGTGGTATTTTATTCGGAGTGAAAAAAATTAAGAATAAGAGGGATTTCTGTAGTGAAATGCTTATTTGAGCATCTCAGCAGACCTTCATTTCCATACTACAAGTCTTTAATAAGAACTGTTCGAATTTGGTTTATGCACGTTTTCCTTCTTGAAAAATTCCACACGTACAGACTTTGGGTGTGGTTATTGGAGGAATCAGTGACTTTGGGTTTTTTTTTTTAATGTCATTTGCCAACAATATAGAAGTTGTTTTTCTATCTATAATATCTTCATAACCACTAGGTGTGGTGCTAGGAGAGGGCTTTAGAAATGAGCGTCCACAGAGAGAGGAAGGAAAGGGGACTGGTTCAAGGTCACATCGCTCACAACTGACGGGAGGACCAGTACTGCAGCATCACTTGTTTTCTGGCCTTGCCACTGATGCTAGTGCAGGGCAGATGAACATCAGAGAGAAATTTCAAATACAGCAGTTTTCAGAGCTTGCCTTTGTATAGTCGTCCACTTGTGGGCAGCACCCCATGCAGGGAGGTGGCTTAGCAGTCACCTCGGACCATAATTATCTTCCTGCGTTGTTGCTAGCTGATTATTCTTTCGGAGTGGGATTTCTCAGGGGGTTTCTTCAAGCTGCTGTAGTTGGAGGATAAAATAAATGCATCCAAGTATTTCTGTGAAGTGCTTCCTGTCTTTATTCATTATTTGTGTTTTTATGCTTACACTAAGGGATAAAATGCAGATCTGCCTTCCTAATTCTTTTTTTATTAAAAACCATTGTATTGAAATCCTTTATGTAGAGGAAAGGGCACATATAATATAGATGAGCAGCTAAATGAATTTTCACAAATGAACACACCTGTGTTATCCAGGTCAAGAAACAGACATTACTAGGATCCCAGAAGCCCACCTTAATTTCCCTTTCCAGTCACCATGCCTCCCTGATTTTTGATTCCCTGATTTGCTCAGGTTTTTGCACTGAACTCTGAAATGGCTTTATTGATCTCATTAAGAATCAGCCAAGTGAGTGAACAGAGCCATTTCCGTACTCACAGTAAAAGATGCTGCCTTTCCTCCGGAGATTGCTCTCCTGGGTCCTGGGATCTTGACTGCAGCGTTATCCAATGCTAAGGGAAAATACTGCTCAGTAGCTTTTCAGATGGTTTGAGGGAATGTAGCAACAGGGCATGTTGACTCTGTTCCACTGTGGGTAACATGCTGTCTCAGCCTTCAGGGCCCAGCTGATGTTGGTGTCATTGAGTCTTGTATAAAGCAAGATGGATCTACTCTAGGGGGATCAGCTCTAAACTTTTGTTATAGGCTGGGAAAGCCGTTCATTTTCTGTTCCTCTTTCTTCCTCTCTCCCCTCCCATCTAACTGAGACACTGTGAGTTTTGAGACCCTGGCAACTTGAATTCTTGCTATCCGATTATTGAGGTCTCACTGGAAATACCTAGAGAATAAACTATAATCTGTAGGGAGATGGTGGTAATGCAGTAAATCAACAGGCCTGAAACATCCCTATGTGGATGCTTAGTAAATGCTTCTTGAAACCAAGGATAAGAAATGATCATTCTAGTTAGTCTTTCTAACCATATTCAAGAAGTATAATGTGGGATTTAGCTGGATCTTCTCCAGAATTAGCAACAATGGTCTTTCTTTGGACTGGCCTCACTTTATTTATTTTGATGTGTAAGACCTTTACTTAGTTGTGTAAGACTTTATGCCAAACCATTGTCTCTATTACTGACTCCCACTTCATTCCCCGCTCCCCTTTCCTAATTAGTCCACAACATGAATTTAACAGCCTTCCTCATATTTAGCAGAACCCCTAAGCCTCTGGTTTATTTTTAATACATAGACTACATACACCTATGATTGCAAACAGAATTGTACAGCCCTGTGAAAGGAACTAACACATATAAGAAATACTGTTTCAATTTCCAAGAATGTAACATCTCCTCTAGTAAACATTGGGAATCAGCAAGATTTGTACATAAAAGACAGATGTGTGTACCATCAATTGCCATGAATTGTTAGGGATAAGTGTAGTTGATTACTTTGAAGAAGCTTCACTTCTTCAGTATTTTCTGCCTGCCATGGCAGTAGAATTGAGAACCCAGGAAACATTTGGGGTGCAGTTTTATTGTCATTTAGTTTTAACAGGAAAAGAAAAATAAATCCATTCTTGGTGGGAGTTAAATAAAATAATGGAGAGTGTTACATATATGATTGACATCTTCATACTTTTCAAACTCAAAAGACAGATGAATTTTCATTTGCACTGTTTAACTGGTATTATGTACTAAAGGTTCTACAATCCATGTTGAAATACAAACCAGTCCCCAAACTTAAGATCATTAAATTGGTGATTCCTTGTTAATTTTCTTTAAGGGTTTACTTATTCAATCAGTTCTATTGCTTATACCAATAAGTAAATTATTGTAAATCATTTTTTTGTTTGCTTCTATTGTAAGGTGTTCTCCCAAACCTAAACTATTTATTACCAGTGCTCCATTGCTTTGAAATTATGAGCCTTGTATATAAGGTGTTACCTGCATTACACATGACATGTATATTCTTAACATGGAGTTATTGGATTTGAAAAAGGAGATTGCGGTAAGGATCAGATCACCAGGTTAGGTCAAGGGAAAGAATAGAAAGTCTTTTGTGGAAAATAAAGCCTGTCTGAATTTACCATAGCCTTTTATTTTAATCCCGTTTTGATTTATGACTCTATCTGATTTCAGGTGGCTTTTTAGCATCATTTTACAAATGGAACCTTACTATTGTAGTACAGTAATTTAGGTATTTGCAAAAATACTTAAAAACGATTTCTCAGAGAGAGCCCCTGAAGCCCACCTAGGGAAATCAACTTGTCTAAGGTCCAAATAGCTTTCAAATAGAGCCCAGGTGCCATCCCATGAATACATGGTCATTTCAAATATGTGATTTTGAAATCCACTGTCACTTTTGGTAAGATGAATATTAGCCATGTAAATGGGAAGCACTTTTTAAATGCTGTTGTGGATGTTAGGTGCCAATTCTGACTCATAGTGACCCTATGCACATTCAATGATATTATAGAATGCTTGCATGGTTGCTAAACTTAGAGAGTTATGATCTGTAGATAGTTCTTACTGTTGTCTTCTGTCTTGTGCTGTGATGACTCCCCTGAGCTCCCCTACACAACTTTTCTTTTCTCCTTTGTCCATCTGTAAACTTCATATGTATGTTCTCCTCCTTTTGTGGACCATTGAGGTCAGAACTGAGGAGGAAAGTTCCTTTGTTAGCCCCTGACTAATGAGGTCAGGCACAAATCAGCTCCACAACTGGTTGACAGACACAGTGATGGTGTTCAATTCCAAGGCTAGGTGATTGCCATAAAGCAGGCTGACTACCTCAGGGTGCTGGCCCAAAGGGCTGCCCAGTTTCCAGTGCAGATAGATGTCCTCTGAGCAAAGACATGTAAAAAGTGATGGGTCATCTACTGCAATGGGGTGCAGTTGTTTGGCCCCCACCTAGGTAAGCCGATAGGGGGCACAGTCTTCATGTTGTTGTTGTTAAGTGCCATTGAGTCAATTCCGACTCATAGTGGCTGGTGGATTTGAACTGCTGACCTTGTGGTTAGCGGTCCAGTACTTATCCTACAGCACCATACCAGGACTTCTGTTGTGGTTGTTAAGTGCCATCAAGTTGGTTCCGACCCATAGCAACCCTGTATAGGGTTTCCGAGGAGTGGCTGGTGAGCTTGAACCACCAACCTTGAAGTTCTTACTGACTTTGCAGTCCAGCGCATTAACCCAAATCACCACACCAGGATTCCTAGCGCTCTGGAAAAGCCACGCTCAGGGTAGAGCTTGACTTGAAGTATATTGGGGACATAGTCAGATGAAGGATCAAGGATTTGTCCTGACTTTTCCACTCTCCATCAGAGACCACAAAGGGTTACTCTGGTAAGCCTCATTCTGACCTCTTTGCCAACACCCCAGTATCCTTCCTCACTAACCATGAAAAAAAGAGGCAGAATCTGGAAAGGACTATAGAATATTTTCCCATCTCATGAGCTTTCAAGGGCCCACTGTTAACTCCTTTAGTCACAGTGGGATGATCCATAAATTCGTTAAGTGCAATTTGAACTTTTATTACAAAATACTACTTTGCTTTAGTAATATTATTCAGTAGAAAGTACCAAGTAAGTGCAAAGTATTTTATTTCTAAAATTGGTCTAGAAAATGGCCTGGTTCCAACAACTCTCTTTCCAACTGAAGTAACTAGGGAAGCCATTGTAGCCTTTATTTTATAAGTGGTACTAGTGATTATGCATTGTTAAGAAATAATTGGACTGGAAATTGTTCACCTAAAAAGAGAGCCCAAGCAAAAAATTTTGTTTCATTGAGAATATAGGAATGAAAATACTATTATTTATCAGCTGTTTACTAGTGAAATGTAACACTTACTAAATGGATTTCTTCTTGTTTAAAAATACTTTTTTCCACATGGCTAAATAATAAATCATAAAGCCAGAGGTTTATAAAATATAAAGCAAACATTTAATTACACATGTCATAACAAATTAATGAAAGCCTATGAGAAAATGGTAAACAAAAGAGCAAGTGTATCCATAGCCCCAGATTAAGTCATTCAAATAAACATAGCACTTAGGATATTATTTAGAGCAAAGGCAGAAAATTATATGAATTCAATTTAAATACATATGTTTCCTTATTAACTTCTTGACCCAGCTTGACAAGCTAGAGACAAAGTAGATCGCAGACCTTGGAGCACAGAAAATTCCGTCAACAATACCAATTAAACAGCTCAGACAGGAACTCAATGATTTTTCACACTCGACAAGTATATAGAGTATACATTGAGGTAACATATTCTAATGAATTCAGACCTCTCAACCTGTCAAGCTTTCCATGAAACAAAAAGAACCCATTTGTCATTTCTAGACTAAAAAGATCCGCAAATCTCAACATGCTTTTCTTGTTAAAATTTAAATACTCCATTAGTGCAAATGCAAACTGAGGCTGTTAATGGTTCCAGGGAGACCCATAAAAATTCTCTGTAATAATTTAGCTTCTCTTTAGGAATGTTAACTCTTCCACACCTGAATTCTTCCTACATATCAGAGGAAATGGTTTTGCCTCTATTTAGTGGGCAGACATCTATTTGACAGTGTTCCTCGTGGTTGAAAACATCCTTCATGTGTAACTTGAAAAGACATTTTAGATGTGCAGTGAACTGAGTTTCCAGAATTTTCGGGGTGTCGTATTTATTTATAAATGACCTTGATTCTTTGAAAGATGGGAAGACTGCACAAGATATAAATGGGGGTAAAAGCAAATATGCATTAAGGAACTAAAATGTGTTTAAGTAATATGCTGCCATTTTATACTCCTAAATCTTGTATGTATGAAATGGTTACATGACTTGGTGTTTATTTATAGAGAGACTACACTCGCTTGTTGCGCTATACCTAGAGATGCAAGCCTCTGTTCTTAGTAGGTATGCAATATGCTCTTTTTGCTCAGGGATTTGCTCCTGGTAGTTGAGGATGCTCTGTACTAAGTACATAAGTACAATCATGGATACTACATAATGGCTTCTATTTGGAAAGCAGTTCCACCCCAGAATTCTGTGGTCCCTGAGTTTTTCCTCATTTGTTCCCAGACCTCCCTTCTCTGATGTCCTTTGGGTATCCCTCTGAGCCATTCTGTCTGGAAGGACAAGAGAGAGGAGTCGGGGAGGTGGGGGGGGGGGGGGGGGAAGGAAATGACCAGGGAGCTCTAGCATCAGCACATTCTCACCCTGGCTTTCCTTTCACCTCATTATCGGGACTCGTGAAAGGAACCCTGAAATTGTGTGTGTGAATAGATACATAGTTCATGGCCTCCAACTCCATAAGAGTTTAATAAAAGTATGAAAAATCGCCACATTTCTTTGCCTCTGGTTAAGAAAACTTAATACAACCAACAATTGTTAATGCAAGAGCTGCCTGCCAAGCTAGTCAGATAAAAGAAATGCCTGGGGAGGGCGGGAAGGCCAAGTCTAGAAGACTGAGATCCATCTTATAATGAAAGGCCATACACATTCTCTACTGATATCTGGAACTTCAGAGACCAAGGGACAAAATGGGATGGATAACGAAGCAATACATACACAGAAAATGCATCTTCAAAATACAAGGGCATCATTTTATTTTATTTACTTATTTTGAACTTTTTGTTGTGAATTGGATGATGTTTTCCATTCACTGATTCTCGTACCTTCTGTTTCCCGCGATTGGTTGCAATCTCGACAATGTAGCATCTCTTATCTCCCTCCCTCCCTTTGTTCCTGCCTCCTTTCCTCCCTTTCTTCCCAACCCTTCTGAACTCTGTCCCTGAGTAAATGGTGCCCTTTTGATCTCAAATGGTTGATTATTTTAAGGTATGCTTACCTCCTCAGTATGATTGTTCCCACTACAAACCTGTCCATAGCTTGGCTAGAAATTGAGCCATGGGAGTGAGTTCATGTCTAGATCTGAAGGGTGACCAAAGGCGTTCCACCAATGTGACCAATAAGTATGATCTTTTTGATGATCTTGAGGTTTGTTCCATGTGTTCTCCCTTTCTATCCAGGGCCTTCTAATGGGATCTCTTTCAGAGCAGTTGGGCACCATCTAATTTTTTTGGTCTCAGGGTCATGAAGACTGATACTCCTGTGGTCCGTTAGTCCACTGGACTAATTGTTTCTATGTGTCTTTAATTTTCTTCCCTCTGGACAGGCTGTTCAATAGGACATGATTTTAAAAACAAGGACCTAAATGTTAGTCCCCATACCATCTCTACCCTATTCTACATTTTTTTTACCACCTACAAGTGGGTCCTAGGAAAGCTAGAGATACTCTGGTTGGCCTCTTGCGTTGCTTAAAAGCATGCCATCTTTCTGCCCTTTTTCTCCTTCCTCCCTGGAAGTGGAGTCTGTCATTTTCCTAATAACTGTTTTCTTTTGCTCCTCCAGAAAAGCTGCATGCACAGTTTATGAGGGACAGAAGTTCAGTCCACACTGATAGTTATCTCTCCCTTGAGGTCTGGTGGAGAGACCACTCTGACCCACCCCTCCCAGTTTGTGGGCATCCCTGCTAGTCTCTGGGCTCTTCAGAAAAGGAGTTTCCACATCCTCCTCTTAAGCCTGAGAAATGTTACAGTGAGGTTTTCCAAACCGCTCTGAAATGACTAACTGGAAGCATGTCAAACTATCTTGTTTTCCTTCTTTAGGAATCCGATCATGGGACACAAACCTGATTGAATGCAACTTGGACCAAGAACTGAAACTTTTTGTGTCTCGACACTCTGCAAGATTCTCTCCTGAAGTCCCAGGTGAGGCTTTGTTCAGTATTAGTCAAGGTAGAATTAGAAAGGATAAAGGCACAGAGCATTGGCTGAAGGCTTTGCCTGCGGTCACAAAAATACTTCCTCTTATGGCTAAAGGTTTTTTGGTTTTTTTTTTTGTATCTACTGTTATCAACTAGGTTAATCGGAAGCCACATTTGAAATAAGTCAATTCAAAGTGTTTACTGCGTGGGTTATCTCTTTTGTGGATTTGTAGCAGTTTTTAAGTATGTGGGGTAAATGTTTTTCTCCTGTCTCACTGTACTCTTGAATTCAAGGGATTGCTAATTATTTAAATGTGACTTTGAATATAAATTGGGTGCACCAGTAACATCTCCATGTGAAAGCTTAATGTGCAGCATCATTGCATTATAATCTACCTTTGCACTTGTATTCCCTTTTCCTTATGTGAGCTGGTGAGTTGATATGCCATACTGCTGTTAAAATAGCCTTTCTTCACAGAGGTAGAAAAGAATCCTACATAATAATCAAAGGTAAGGAGACAAAAATGTGTCATATGTGAAGATGTTTCATTAACCATGTACTTGGGCCATGTCTATGTTTTTAAGTGCTCTCGAGTCCAACTCATAGGGTTTCCAAGGAGCAACTGGTGAATTTGAACTGCCAACCTTGTGGTTCAAATGGATCTTGTGGTCCTGTACTTATCCCATTGTGCCACACCAGGACTCCAAGTCTGTGGTAGTGTGCCATGGAGTCGGTTTCGACTCTTAGGCACCCTGATTAGGGTTTCTGAGGCTGTAAATCTTTAGGGGAGCAGAAAGCCTCATCTTCATCTTTCACCTGTGGAACGGCTGGTAGTTTCAAACTGCTGACCTTGAGGTTAGCAGCCCAACTCGTAACCTATAACTACGCTACCAGAGCTAGTGAAATACTCACGCTGATTCATCCACTTACCTTTGCTTGGAAGCAGTGATGCATATTTCTCCCACCTAATCACACTGGGTAGTTAAGAAGATGGTTTCTGGCCCATAAAGACTTCAAACCCGAGATATGTTTCCCAAAAGTTCTGCCATTGACCTGCTATAGACAGTAGATTGCATTGTATATTTGCTTCAATATTATGTAAAATAGAGAAAGCTCTATTTACATGTCTGCTTGTTTTTGTTGTAGGATTGCTACATTTACTGGCATTGATGCAAAACCAGGGATGAAGTTCTGTAGTGTTTGACAGAATCATATTCTGTTAGCATTGTGCATACCAAGATTTGAATCCACTTTTATAGACTGTAAGTGCTCTTATGAGTCACAGTTGGCAGCAACACGCTAGCAACATGTCTGTGAAACTATTCTAGCTCTCCCCTTGGAGCGTGTTGTTAGAATAAAAGCCCCATATATTTTGGTTATTTAAATGAGCTGTTGTTTTCAAGCATGGATTGAATAAATAGGAATTTACTCAAAATTTAGCAGGAACTGGTCTGTTAAAAGTTAAGCTTGCTGCAAAGCCATGTGAAAACTCAGCTGTTAAGTAAGTTGGCATTAGTAGGGGGGAAGAGGGGAGGGAGAAAAAAACAAAGAGTACAATTGGTGGTTGTTGTTGTTAAGTGCTGTCGAGCCTGTTCTAACCCACAGCGACCCTGTATAGGGTTTCTGAGGAGCAGCTGGTGAGCTTGAACTGCCGACCTTACAGTTCAAATGGCTTTGCTGTCTGGCACATTAACCCACAGCGCCATACCAGGGTTTTTTGTTGTTGTTGTTGTTAAGTGCCATCGAGTTGATTCCGACTCATAGCAACACCAGGACTTTAGAGATTGTCAAATACTTTACCTTTACTTCAGTGATTTGCTGAAGTAAAAGTACAGTATGTGGTTGTTTATCTTGATGCTATTGTGTTGTGTTTTTGTATCTTCATAACTTTTTAAATCATCTCACATCAAGTCAGAGAAGTACCCTTTTGTCAACAACTAAGTTTGTTTCAAAAAGACAGTAAAAGTCAACCTTTTATCCCATTTTTATGTAGGTTCTTTTGGCTTTCTACCTCTGCCTGCTTGTAAGACTAATTTTATTTTATTTTTTGCAAAACAGGCCATGCAGTCCCATTGTCTTTATTCAGACTAGCATTTACTTTATAGACTAAGAGCTGTGTGTTGCAAAATAGACAGGCTACAAGAATTACTGACTAATTCACCATTTTTTGACCAATAACCCAGCGGACTAGTCCATGCTAACCTTGTGGACTAGAAAGGTCAAATCCCTGCAGAGTATCACTTCACCTGCTGTAACCCACATTCTCCTCTCTTTTCTCCTGCCGTCAATTACAATAAGAATTAGTTTCCTACCTAGTTTTATCAGTTCTATGATAGATGCTATTTCTAGAAATTGACATACAGACACACAGCGTCCTTATCATTCTTGCAAACTCCAGAAAGCATTGAGTGTATTGTATAGGACCAAGCCTCCCTCTGGGGACTAAGTGTCTAGAAAAGAGTCATTGTAGTGATGCTCCCTGTGTGGGGCATCCAAAATGGCAGGAAGGTTGTTAAAGTACATGTCAGAGTCAGTTTCAGGTAAGTGTATTTCAAGAGAGGAGACGGTATGTTGGGGTCATTGGAGATCATAGGGTGATTGCATTGGGCCCAGGGAAGGTTTTAGCTCTTTATGATGAAACTTGAAATGTTTTATGGAAAAATTTGAAGTCTGTTTATTTTGTTGTTACTGTCGAGTTGGTCCCAACCCATAGCGACTCTGTATAGGGTTTCTGAGGAGCAACTGATAGATTTATGTTGTTGTTGTTAGGTGCCATCAAGTCGATACCGACTCATAGTGACCTTATGTGCAGCAGAACAAAACACTGCCAGATCCTGGGCCAACCTTACTATTGCTGCCACGCTTGAGCCCATTGATGATGCCACTTTGCCAATCCATCTCGTTGGGGGTCTTCTTCTTTTTCTCTGACCCTCCACCTTACCAAACATGATGTCCTTGTCCAGCAACTTGTCCCTCCTGACAATATGTCTGAAGTATGAGAGGCAAAGTATGTCCATCCTGGACTCCAAGGAGCACTCTGGCTGCACTTCTTCCAACACAGATCTGTTGGTTCTTTGGGCAGCTCATGGCACTTTCAATATTCTCCTCTAATACCATAACTCAAAGGCGTCAAATCTTCTATGGTCTTCCTTATTCACTGTATAACTTTCACATGCATATGAAGTTATTGAAAATACCATGGCTTGGGTTAGGCACATGCACCTTAGTCTTCAAGCTGACATCTTTGCTCTTCAGCACTTTAAAAAGGTCTTGTGCAGCAGATTTGCCTAATGCAATATGTTGTTTTACCTCTTGATTGCTACTTCCGTGAGTGTTGATAGTCGGTACAAGAAGAATGAAGTCCTAGGTTTATAAGTGTGTCTAAATATAATGGTCCATCCCCAACTCACTGATAATTTATAAATGTTAACACATGTAATCTAGGTCATTTAAAACAGAATTTGCTGAATCTGCATTTAGACCTTTCAGATTCCAAGTTTACTTAGAGACAAGGAACAAGATAAACGAGGAATCCCCTAAGTTTTAAAATAATAATAATAATAATAATTGGTTCATTTATTCATTTAAAAAATACTTAAATAGTGGAGGATACTCAGTACCATCAATCAAGAAGAGCAGACGGAAGAGTATGTCCTGCCTGTGCTGAGAACCTCTTAGACCTAAGGGAAGGAAGCTTGATGCCAAGACACATGGAGATCTCTAAGTAGTGCTGGGCCCACGGGTGTTCACAAGATACAAAGCTGACATAGCATGCCTTCCTCTAAAGCTGATACCCTGAGTTTGGACTTCTAGCCTGGACTGTGAGAGAAAGTTTTGGTTTTTTTTTTTTTTAAAGCCATCCATTTGTGTTATTTATGTTATAGCAGCTCTGGTAGTGTAGTGGTTACAAATCAGGCTGCTAACCTCAAGGCCAGCAGTTCAAAACTACCAGCTGTTCCACAGGAGAAAGATGAGGCTTTCTGCTCCCATAAAGATTTACAGCCTCAGAAACTCTGTGCAGGGTCACTATGAGTCAGAACTGACTCCACAGTACTTAACAACAACACATAATTAAGACAGTCACTGTACCCATTTTTTCCCCCATTTTTGCCTCTTACCATTATCTTACATTCTAAACAGGGTTACAACTCCAAATTACTCTATCACATCCAAATTTTGATGAATATGTAAAACTCCAGATTGTCTTTAGAAAGAACACCAGACATTTATTTAATGGTTCACAGCTTTATCTTTCATATGCATCATGCCATTGGAAACTTTTGGCAACCATGTAAAGTGCATAGGGGAAAGAGTTAACATCCTGGTCATACAGATGTGGAAAACGAGGCTCAGAGAGCTTAGGTGCCTCGCTCCAAGATAGTAAGTGACACTGCCAGGGTCTGACCATTTTCACATCAAAAACTGCATTGTTTCCTACGTAGCGTGTCCCAAGATTTTGATCATCTCAGTTTTTAGGCCTGTCAGGCAGTGTTTGGGTACCATTAATCCACTGCCGGTTGTTTTCACCTGTGAGAAACCTCATTCTTTAACTCAGTGGGTCATACACATATTGCCATCTTTTTAACGTCCTCAATAATAGGTCTAATGGTAAGAAAGAAAAAACTTACTACAGGCTATCAGGAGTCTTGGTGTAATAGTGTAGGATAAGCATTGCACTGCGAATTGCAAAGTCGGCATTTCAAACCTACCAGTCATTCCTTGGAAACCCTATACAGGGTAGCTATGACTGAGAATTGATGGCGCTTTCAACTATGAACACTCATGGAAGCAGCAGTCAAGAAATCAAACAACGTATTGTGTTAGGCAAATCTGCTGCACAAGATCTTTTTGAAGTGTTGAAGAGCAAAGATGGTGGCTTGAGGACTAAGGTGCACCTGACCCAAGCCATGGTATTTTCAGTCACCTCATATGCATGTGAAAGGAAGACCATAGAAGGAATTGATGCTTTTGAGTTGGAGGAGAATATTGGAAGTGCCATGGGC